CTGGGGATGCGGGGGGGGGGGGGAGGAACAAGATGGGGTTCGTGTCTGGCTACAGATGCCCCCCAGGAATCAGGGAGGACTAATGTCAACTGGCACCCTGGGATGCACTAGTCTTCTTCTTTAGTGACTTCCAGTATCAGCAGGGTCGGCCCACAACATTTTGGCACCTGAGGCAGGGAGCTCAAATGATGCCCCCATTCCCGCTTGCTTGGGCCAAAAACTTGAGTGTCTGGCTACAGATGCCCCCCAAGAATCAGGGAGGACTAATGTCAACTGACACCCTGGGATGCACTAGTATTCTTCTTTAGTGACCTCCAGTACCAGCAGGGTCGGCCCACAACATTTTGGCACCTGAGGCAGGGAGCTCAAATGATGCCCCCATTCCCGCTTGCTTGGGCCAAAACTTTGAAAGGTCTCCATCCTCCAGCACAACACTCCACCATGTCTGTGCATCTAGAGCAGAGAGAATACATATGCACCCACAGCAGACACAATTTTCTACACTCTGGGTCCTAGTGGTGCCCTCCCCCCTCCCCACACACACAGTTTGGCACCTCCAGCCCTGAGTACCAGACACTTCACCACCCCACTGTAGGACCAGCTCCTGTCTCTATTCCCTCCATTTCCCTATGACAGCTGTTCCTTAGCAGCTTCTCATTGTCAGATTTCTCTGTCTGGTTTTGGTGGATGTATTCTTCCCTTCCCAATTGGGTTGCATCTCTGGCCCCACATAACAGAAGTGTTCCTTACAGTGGGTGGAGTATCCTTGGTGCTGTGGACGGGGGAAGGGAGCGAGGTTTGATCCTGAATGGAGTAGGAAGAGAAGGAGAGAGACAGACTCATCCTCCAGCTGGGGCCAGTCTCAGAGGACTTGGTGAGTTTCAACAGGGCTCCCATTACTCGGTGGGGGACTGTCTCAGATGGGAGCTGGACCATTTCTTCATGGATCACGTTGTCTGGCTTCTGTCAGTGTCACTTTTCTATTGGGCTCCACTTCTCAACTGGGTTTCTTTACCTCAGATATAACAGCAGTTTGTAGAACCAGCAAAGCCCCTCCCTGGCCAGGCAGCCAGTGTCCTTGGCTGGGTCACTGATGGAGCCACCAAGTTCTCTAGCGAGGGGAACTGTGCTGAGTTCTAATGGAAGGGAAGAAGAGGGGGCTCCATCAGCATTCTACTGTCAACTCCCAATCTCCCCTGGACCAGGAATCTTCCTCCCCCAAGTCTCCCTGCCCCCAGCATCTTCTGCAGAGAGAGGAACTAGCTAGAGTTAGACCCTCAGCTCCTTCTGCCCCAAAGGGATCCTGGAGCAAAGGGATGTGGGCAGAGCCTTCCATGAAGACTTGCACTCCCAGCTCTCTAGGACAAGAAGGGACTCAAGGCTAGGCACAAATCTGGCTGGTCCCTTTAAAGTCTCAGGATTTGCACTGACCCTGGAGAAGATGAACTTGACTCAGGTGTATCTCATTCCCTGCTCTGACTCTGCCTTCCTAAGGGGAACACTCCCAACCCAGAGCCCCAGTAGCTGCAGGTCCTACAGCCTATAGGAGCCTACCTGTTCAAGGACTGGTGTCAGAGGTCATTTACTTCAAATTCAGGGAGGGGATGGTGAATCAGAACAGAGCTCTGCTGTTCTTTATGGCCTTGGCTCTCTCCTGGGACGCACTGGACCTGAGGGCAGAAGTTGATACATTCATTATGGGGGAAGAAGGCAGGTCAGGATCAGTAGACAGATGCATATGCTATGCAAACAAGCTCACCTCCATACCTGAGGCTGAAACATTGTGCTCAGGGTGGAATACCTGGTTCACTGATCATGGTGTTTGAGAAGAAGATTGTCACCATTTGTCTTTGTCTCTCTAGACAATGTTCAGTATCTAGATTGGTTCCATCCTTTCTGTACTTCTGACTCATCAGGATGGAGACAGATTCCATTGCCTGTCACTGGCTCGAAAGCTCTTGGTCCGAGGAAGTGAGCGACTGTGAGGACAATTCTTTCACCATACCATCTCTCAGTATTGATAGGAGAAAAGAGCTGATTCCCTTTGGGCCCACCTGATTCTCTAGGAAGGAATCTGTGATATCTCCTGGATTTCATGGCAGAAGTTGGGGATGTTGGCGAGGGGGTAGGGAGTTTGAGGCTCTCACTGCCAGCCAGGATACTGACTTGAAGTTCCATCTCCCTCCTCTGTCCCTGGAGGAGGAAAGGCCAAACATAGTACTGTCCTGACCAAGGAAGGCCCACTGGGGTGCAGCCTAGAAGGACAGACTGGAAAATGGATTTCCATTCTCCCCAGCACTAAGGTAAAACTGCCCCCTGCCTCTTCTAATCATGCTCACTTCTAAGATGTTTTGGAGACTGTCTGTGTCTGTGTCCTCTGCCAGTAGGTTCCCCAGCCTGGCATGCTTGAGGTCAGACAAGGCCTTGTGCAGAACCTGCAAAGGAAGGGACAGCCAGGGTCACAGTTGGGAAATTGGGGAAACTTCTCCTCCCCGTCAAAAGCCCCTTTCTTGGTCAATCAGCATCGATACTCTGAAGTGGGAGGCTGAGAAGTCTTGTCAATAGCCCCTTGCTTGGTCAATCAGCGTCGATACTCTGAAGTGGGAGGCTGAGAAGTCTCAGCAGATGTCCCAAAGGATGGCCCAGGACACCACCAGCAGGGATCAGTCTCAGAGCAAGTCCAGCCCCCTCTTTGGGACAGCCTTTCACAAAGCTATAAATGGGGTGTCTCTCAGGTTGCCCCCACCTTGCACCTCTGTCCTGCCTGGCAGATGTCAAGGTGTCTTTGTAAGGTCACTATCTTCCCCACCAATAGGGTGAAGTCCTGCAACAAACCCTTGTGATGTCATGGCCCCACTCACCCCTCTCCTGCAAGTCTGATGTTCTGCCCGTAGCCAGCCCCTTGGCACACTGACTGATCAGAATAAAGTGCTCTCAAATGAATTACAGACCAATAATTGATCCCCGCATTATCGAGCAAGTATTTGAGAAGAATTTGAAGATTAAAGAGAATCAGGGACTGCACAAATACAATAATCCAGAGAAGCAGCACCAACAGTCAAATACAGGTTGGACCTCTCTACTCCACCGTCATTGGGACCTGACCAGTCCCAAGAATTTGCTGATCTGCCACCAGAATTTGGTGGTCTGCCACCAACCCCCACGCTTGTCATCCACTGCTGACAGGCTGCCCCAGCAGGCAACCCTACCTCTCCCTCTCCCCACTCATCCTGACTGGGCTGCTTGTCCAGCTACTGCAGGCTCCCTGGGCAGCTCCAGTTCCTGTGCAGCTGGGAGCAGCCGTGGGGCTGGAATTCCAGCCCCGCCCCTGCCCAGCCGTAGAAAACCACAGGGCTCCAGCCTCAGCCCTGGTGCAGCCCTAGCCCTGCACAGCCAGGGAAAGCTGCGGGGCTCCAGCCCCAGCTCCAGCCCTGCACAGCTGGGAGAAGCTGTGGCACTCTGGCCCTGGCTCTGCTCTCCTAGAGGTTGCTGGAGGGCTCCAGCCCCAATCCTGTGCTGCTCCCAGTTTGGCTGATGACTGTGATGTCCCACCTGCCTGGCCCTTTTGCCCCTAGGCTCCCGGGCTCTCTGCTCTAAGAGTATCTGTGGTCTGGACAGTCCCAGATTTTGTAGGTAAAACCTGTACATGATTGCTTGTAATTTATTTGTTTAGTCTTAAAAGAGAACAAAAGGACCTGAGTCTTCTCTGTCAATAGCCACCTGCTCAGCCAATCAGCATCAAGACGCAGAGTTGGAAGGCAGAGGAGTGTCAGCAGAAATTCAAAAAGACGGCCCAGGTCACCATAGGAAGGGATCAGCCTCTGAACACTATTCCAGCCCCACCTCTTTGTGAGGACCTCCTACAATGACAGCAAACCTCACTGATACACACATAAGCAAGAGAAGAAGAGAAAGAGAAGGAAGGAGGAAAAGAGAAACTTAAACGGACAAACCCCCAATGCCTCGAGTGATTCTGCAGGACAAAGGCCTTGGTAGGAAATCAAATCACCTTAAGCTAGTGATTTCTATGCCTAGAATTCAGCTGGTACCAGGCAGCAGTGAAAGTAACTTACAATTTCTTACCAGGTATTGTCCTATTGCAACCCAGGTCCCTGCCAGATCTTTAAATAGCTTCCTTCTGGCTTTTGCAGCAGCTCCACCCGGTTAGTTTTATCTCTGATACCAGGTGGATCAGACTGAACAGGTTCCAAACTTCTCTCAGTCTTTTACCTTCTAAACAGTGACTACAAAATCAGTAGTAGGGAAGGAGAAAACTCTGACAAGCTTCCTCCTCATGCTCATGCTCATTAAACCTAATTCTCTCTCTGTCCCCAAGGAGAGACCTTGAAAAGGAGCCTTGCTGCTACAAAGACAGGAGTCTAAGGTTGCCCCTGCCTTGCACCTCTGTCTTGCCTGGCTGTTGTCAGGGTCTCTTTATGAGGTCACCAGCTCCCCATCACTGTTCCCCAATAGGCTGAAGTCCTGCAAGAGGGGCCTCTATGATGTCACCACCATGCCCACACCTCTCTTGTAAGGCTGATGTCCTCACCTTGGCCAGCCTTTTTGGATGTTTGAGTGGCTTCCCCTGGATCAGCCCACTTAATGACAGCTGAGTCTGGGGATCAAGCCAGCTGTACAGTAAAGCCCTAGAGGCTGCTCCCAGTACCACTCTCAGTTTTTCATTAATTAGTAGGCTTTAAGGTCAGGAGGGGCCATTAGAGCATTGAATCTGAACCCTGAATATCCCAGCCCTTCTGTCCCCCTATATATCATAGTAGCCAAGTTTTGATCCAAGCGCATACCAGAAAGGCATCTAATTTTAATTAAAAGACATAAATTGCAGAACTCCCCCAGGACTAGAAGATCAACGGTTTTACATGTTGATCAACAATTGAAGAGACTTAAAGCTGAGTTTCGTGGATTGGGAAATGACTGACTGACAGTTATTTTTGGCTTCTTTATGTTGGCTAAAGAAGACCTAAGATGTTTATGCTTTAAAGAAAAGTAGAAGGTGGTGTTCTGCTGGGTTTTATAAATACAGGTAAATTCTTGCCGGGGTTGGGCTTTCGTTCTCCCACTAGAAGATTGTGGGATAGATGCCCCTTGGTCAGCCTGGGCTGGGTAACTAGTTCTCCCCAGCTACCAGCTGGAGTTTCAGGCCACTGTGGAAAGGGAGCCCAAATACTTCCTGTCAGAGCCCTTCATTTTCCCCTGTGGCATCTGGCAATGTTTACTTTCTTAGGGTATGTCTACACTACCCCGCTAGTTCGAACTAGCGGGGGTAATGTAGTCATCCGCAGTTGCAAATGAAGCCCAGGATTTGAATTTCCCGGGCTTCATTTGATAAAGAAAGCAGAAGCTCAGCATACACCAACTTTTAAAACTAATCTTAGGAGTGTGAAAAAAGGGTATAGAAAAAAAAGATTTGTCTTGGGTAAGAGAAAGATGTATGTGTATTCCTTTGTGTGCCATTACCAAAGAGAATGAAAGAGACAAACCAGGTACTGTGTAGGTGATGACAGTGTCAGTCCCACTCCTAGGCCACCGGCCCCTGTTCAGTCCACTAAATCCCGGAGTGGGTACAGCAGCATGGGTCCCACTTGTCCATCCTGGTATGTGGGCTCCTGTCCTTCAGCTAAAAGGGTGTTGGGCTGGATGCTACTGGCTGGGCTTTCAGGCTCTTTTGGGAGGAGAATCCAAAACCCTCCCAGTAGGAGCCCCTCACCTGTCTCTGGCAAGGCAGCTGTTCTTTCTCTAAGCTTTTCTGATGCAATGCTTTAAAATCCTCTACCACTGTCTCTCCCACTCCCTCAGCAGGGAAGGCTTTTTAAAAGGACCCCTGGCTGCCTGAAGTCAAAGCACCTGGCCTTTAATTGATTTATAGCAACCCCATCCCAGCTTCCATTCTGCCCTTAAGTAACCCTCTTTCTCATCTAGTCCTCTAAACTGCCCTGTCACAAAATAAATATAAATCTATTCAGAAGAGTCCTAGTCAGATTATAGACTTTCAGCCTGATGACTTTCCCACCTAGAGAGTGATTGTTAAAGGGTAGACACTATAATTTTTCTCTTTGTACAGCTGAGTTTTACACTCTTATTTCTTACTATTAGAAATGCCCGGTGTCACCCGGGGAAAATATAGTAAAAGATGTGATGAATTAACTACGTCAATGACATTAACATAGCATATTTCATTGGAAATACTTTTCTCTTATATATTACTTTAAGAAATTAACATAGCTAGTACTTTTTCTGTTATCATAAGGAAAGGATCTCGTAGTTACAGTTTATGTGACACGTTGCACAAAAACCCCCTCTTATGCCAGAGTGGTTCTTCCACATTTTTTCAGGAAGAACGGCTCTTGTGCAAAAGCCTCTTTTGCAAAAACGGAGCCTCGTTAATTATGCAAATGAGCAGGGCTCGACAAATAATAAAGATTGCAACCCTGAAGAGCCAGGTTTCAGCGATCTGTGCATGCGCAGATCGCCGGACAGCGTGGCTGGCGAGTGGGGCTCGCTGCGGTTCGACAAGCCCTGCAAAGCCATGCTTTGCCCCACTTGCATATTTTTTGCACAAAACAGGGGCAGTGTAGACATAGCCATTTAATATCAGGGAGACCTTCCTGATTCTCCAGCTTCTAGGAGCTGCTGTAAGAAAAACAATACTAGTTCATCAGTGTACACTCTCTTCACATTTCCAAGGATCTCTTCATATGCTTAAGTACTATAACTTTTTTTAATGAAAGGTTCTACAGAACAGAACTGTGGCAACATGTAGACCTCCATGACAAATTCTATCCTCTGAATAACTAGTATTGCAAACAGAATCAAGATTCCATTCATTACTATCTCCCACATCACCCATGGTACAAACAGCTCTGAAAGGAACACACAATAAAAAAAACAAACGTGTACAATTCCTGCCCCGCATCAGACCTTTCCTACTATGTTCCCACACTGCTTAGTCAGGCTTATCTTTACTCTTTTTGCCCATCATCTTGGTTTTCCTTCTGTTCACAAAATTAACTATTCCAATGGTGAATCTAGATGAAAGCATCCAGTCTAAATATTTTGAATAGTGGTAGAGATGTAGCCGTGTTAGCCTGGGGTAGCTGAAGCAAAATGCAGGACAATGTAGCACTTTAAAGACTAACAAGATGGTTTATTAGATGATGAGCTTTCGTGGGCCAGACCCACTTCCTCAGATCAAATAGTGGAAGAAAATAGTCACAACCATATATACCAAAGGATACAATTAAAAAAAATGAACAAATATGAAAAGGACAAATCACATTGCAGAGAGGAAGTGGGTCTGGCCCACGAAAGCTCATCATCTAATAAACCATCTTGTTAGTCTTTAAAGTGCTACATTGTCCTGCATTTTGCTAAATATTTTGAGTCTTTCACTTTATTGTATTGCATTGAAGTTCTTTTCTCTCAGCACTACACAACAGTTCAATTGACTCTGCATCTCACAATACACCTTTGATTGTATTGTGAATCTGAATCTTGATCTCCACCTTGGATCAAGCTCATTTCTTTCAATTTTTCTACTCTGGACAGGTGGGAGTTGTGGTTGCTTAGAAGCTTCCACTGTGCAGCTATCTGGACAATGGTATATTCTGCAAACTAAATGGAGAGATCTGAAATTACCTATATCAAAAAGAAGTAGTGGATGAAAGAAGATCTTTAAGTTGAAGGGGACAGAGCCCTGAGAGGTCAGACACAGAGTGAACCCCTTTTCATGTGGGAAATGCATTGGAGATGTCAAATGTGATGTCCGGATCTGGCCCACGGCGACCCTTTTGCCCATGCCTGAACTAGCAAGTTACTGTTGCCAGCCCTTAATTATGCTGTGCTTTTAGGAAACATTCACTTAAACATTCACTTAAACATTCACTAAAACACACTTTGTGTGTGAGGCCTTTGTCTCCAGTTCCATGTTCTTCTACAACTGAAACACTATATTTAATTAATCTACAGACCTATTTTATCCTTGATATGTCTGTTTAAGTTGGAACAAGAATCCCAATCGGTTCCAATTTTAATGGGAGTTTTTTTGTAACATGATGTCATGTCTCATACTCACCACCCTAGCACTCCTTGAAGTCATTACAGAATATGCCTCTTACCTCCTTTTGCCCAAGCTCTCAGGGTATGTCTAGACTGCATCCCTCTGTCGACAGAGGGATGCAGTCTAGACATACCCTGAGAGCTTGGGCAAAAGGAGGTAAGAGGCATATTCTGTAATGACTTCAAGGAGTGCTAGGGTGGTGAGTATGAGACATGACATCATGTTACAAAAAAACTCCCATTAAAATTGGAACCGATTGGGATTCTTGTTCCAACTTAAACAGACATATCAAGGATAAAATAGGTCTGTAGACATTAGGCACGGGATACTTAAATCCCTACCTTATTTGCAATGTCGACCTGCCTAATCTGCATCCCTCTGCTGACAGAGGGATGCAGTCTAGACATACCCTCAGCCTTGTGATGCTCTGTCTCACACTTGGTCATCTGTGACCTAGCCCTCCAACCAAATCACGTACAAGTTCAACCCCTTTGCCCGGTATCAAAAAGTTCAACTGGAAGTCCCAACAAATATCCCTCTCAGGCACCAGTGAAGTCCTCTGCTCCTTTGTCCCATCTTATTCCTGCAACACTTCTCATGAGTTACCTCTTCCCCATTAGGAATCTTCCACTGCCTCCCTTCCCCCACAGGGGCTCTGATGGCTTCTTTCAAGGATCTCCCTGCTCTTCGTAGTTGTAAGCCCTATCTCAAGGCTCTCCTGCTAGAGCTCATCCTGCTCCTTGTGGGTCTCTTCTGTTCCTTGTTCCCCCATCCCTCCACAACATTAACCCCAGCTGTGCCTTCCTGGACACCTGTCCCTTGGGTCCCATGAGTTAGCACTACTCCTGTGGCTCAGCCCACCAGCCCTGACCTACTTGGTTTTCCCCTGCAAAGGAATCCTGTCTTATACTGTCTCCACTGACTTGCATTCATCTTCAAGTAGTCATTCACAGCTGGGTCATTCACACCAATTAACTCCAATACTCCCTGCTAGGAATCACCAGTTGTCTCTAATTGGCAGATGATGGGCAAGGCTGAGGATTAGCCTGTGCCCAGATGGCTTTCCAGCTTTAGCTACCCTATGATGCATGAATAAGGTGAGCTCAGTTTAGGGACAAGATTGCTACCTTATTTGCATATATAGAACACTGAGGCACTGTTGAATTTCAGTTATTAGGATCCAAGTTGGATCAGTCAATCCTTGTACCACTGGATTCAAAATCAGTAGAGCCCTGTGCAGATACAAAATCTGTATCCACAAAAATAAGCCACAAATATTCACATCTGTAGCTGAGGATACCCGGAGACATAAAGCAGTTATCTGCATATTTGCAGGGCTCTACGAATCAGTGTTGTGTATTAAGATGAAGTATGATGTCCACAGCTAAACTGGCCAGGACGCAAACAAAAAACAGGACTATGTAGCACTTTAAAGACTAACAAGATGGTTTATTAGGTCATGAGCGTTCGTGGGACAGACCCACTACCTCAGATCAAATAGTGGAAGAAAATTGGCATGACCATATATACCAATGGTCATGCCAATTTTCTTCCACTATTTGATCTGAGGTAGTGGGTCTGTCCCACGAACGCTCATCACCTAATAAACCATCTTGTTAGTCTTTAAAGTGCTACATAGTCCTGTTTTTTTTTTCAGCTAGACCAGACTAACACGGCTACATTTCTATTACTATTCTACTGTCCAGGACTGTGAGGAATTCCAGGATTGACAGGGGTGTTCTCAGTATTTGATTTAGCAGATCCTTACCAGAGCTGGTAAATCAAATGCTGGAAAATCGGTCACTGGAGCATCGATCATCTCATAAATATAGATGTGCCCTAACAGACTGTTTCTTTAGAGGCAGTGAACTTAATGAATTTCTGTGATTATCCAGTGAGAAGGACTGGACACTGTAGAAAGACATCTCCTAAGGAACTTGGGAATTGGGGTTAACTGATTGCTATCTGAAAGGCAAGGTTTAGACTGGAAGAGTCCGGAAGCATCTTCCAGCAGGGCAGGACAGACAAGATGGTATGTCAGGATGATGACACATAGCATAGCAGCAGCAAAGTTCACTCTTGCTAATGCAGAAAAGTAACACAGTGACTCACAGTTCTGGGCAACCTGAGCAAGGCATCACAGCTACTGTATAAAGGACACTATTTGATATCAGATCAGGCTTTTCAAAAACAGTTTTCATATAGAAATGTGAAATCTGAGTAGCGAAAAATCAATGTTTCATTGGCTTCAACTTTAGACAGGAAGCAGAAATTCAAATAAATTATACATTCATATACTTACTGTACTTAATTGATGAAGTGGGATTTTCCCATGAAAGCTCATGATCCTATATATTTTTGTAAGGCCATGTCTTCACTTGCCACTCCAGAGATTGATTTTCTGGTGTTTGATTTAGCAGGTCTATTTAAGACCCGCTAAATCAAATGCTGAGGTTGGCTCCAGTCAACGCTGGTACTTCTCTCAATTGTGAGGAGTAAAGGAAGTCAATGAGAGAGTTTGCTTCCATCAGCCTCCCTCTGTGAAGATGGTGCCAAGCTTAGCTTAAGGTAAGCCAACTCCAGCTACATAAGCATCAGGGAGTAGCTGAGTTAATCAGTACAGGATAAACTTTAAAAACAACAAATAGTCTGGTAGTACTTTATAGACTAACAAAACATGTAGATGCTATCATGAGCTTTCATGGGCACAGCCCATTTGTTCAGATGACCGGTCTTCTGAAGAAGTGGGCTGTGCCCATGAAAGCTCATGATAGCATCTACATGTTTTGTTAGTCTATAAAGTGCTGCCAAACTATTGGTTGTTTTTTAAGTTAATCCAACTACATAGTTCATGTAGCTGGAGTTGCAGACCTTACCTCAACCTTCCAGATCTAGTGAAGACCTGGCTTAGCCTCTAAGGCAGAGGTGAGCAATAATTTTTGATGGGGAGGGCCACTCTAAGAATTTAAAAGTGGTTGAGGAGCACACTCTTCCATGACATTAATAGAGGAAGTGTGGGGTCCGGGCTGGAGGCTGGGTACAGAAGGGAGCTTGGGGTAAGAGAGGGAGTTTGGGTGAAGGAGACAGTTGTGACCTAAGGCAGGGAACTGGAGTACAGGAAAGGGTGGAGGGGTTTGGGTTGTGAGTTAGGGCAGGAGGAGACTGTGATCTGGACAGGGGGTTAGGGTGCAAGATTTGGGAGAGGGTATGGGTGCAGGAAAGGGACAGAGGATTTGGATATGTGGAGTAAGGGTGATAGAGTGTGGGGCAGAGGGTTGGGGAAGGGAGGGCCTGGGATGCCAGAGGCAGGCTCTGGCCAGGAGACTCCCCAGCCAGCAGGCTGTTTCTGAATCAGCCTCCCTGTCTGCCTCATCCCCCCACAGGCTATAGCCATATGCTCTGTGAATAACTATGAGCCCCTTGTGCTTTGTGGCTGCCTGTTATTGAAACAGACAGCTCCCACTAGCCAGCTTCTGGCCAGAAGCCGGCCAATGGGATTGTGCTGGGGAGCGGGAGCATCTCCTAAAGCAGTGGTCCCCAACCTTTTGGGGCTGCTGGGCGCCGGGGGCAAGGCCATGCATGCGCCAGGCACCTGGGATACAGGAATGGCTCGGGCCAGCCCTGATCACTCGGTGGGCGCACATAAATGCCCCGGCGAGTGCCATGGCACCCACAGGCACCACATTGGGGACCACTGTCCTAAAGCTTTCCCCCCTCTCCTCCAGGCTCAGTTTTTAAAGTGAAACTGACCTGAAGCTGCATTTCTGAGTGGTGTGCAGGTGGGGCGAGGCAAGTGGGAAGCCTGCCTGCAGCTCCCCACAGCATCTGCAGGCTGGATCCAGTGGCTTGGTGGGCTGGATTTGGCCTGAGGGGTGCATTTTGCCCAGGCCTGCTTTAAGGTGCTCGTTGTACTTAACTTGTTAGCCACTAGATGTCTCTATTGCTTTGCAACATTTGGAGAAGCAAATTTCCTTCAGATATTTTTATGACCTAGAAGGGGAAAGAAACATTTTCAGAGTTTAAATAGCTACTGACACCTCATGGAAACCCTTGAATTTTAAGATTTAGAAATAGTTCTGTTTACACTCAAGATTATTTCCATATTTTCCCTTCCCCTATTCTTTACTACAGAGAATATTTTCAAGAAATCAAGATGTTTGATGAGTAGATCATCTGCTTCTGCTGCATATTCCTCTCCTAAAATTATAATTTGCTCTTGCTATCATAATAATTTTCAAAGCAACCAGTTGTTAAGCCATAAATAAACCATTATGGAGGGAACTGGCTAGCTCAATGATTAGCAATGGGCTATAAGGACTGTCACCCCTCTATTGTGGGCTCTGATCCAGCCCAAGTCAGTAGTTACTGCTGAATCTTGTCTGGTGGTCTGTGTAAAATGAGTTTGGTGGTGTCTGACCAATTTGCAGTGCACCAATGTCCACATCACAAAAACTGCCACTACAATTGTTTCCTTCATTAGCCTCAAGAGAAAGAGTGAGAACTGAATGGGCATTCTGTGAGAGCAAATTATTGTCTCCTTCCAAGAAGTTGTCACACCAAATTGGGGTTGAGAGAGGTTGTCAGGGAAGCCTGGGGAAGCTTGCACTGTTATGTTGCATGTAGTCTGCTTATAAATAAAGAACTTCCGTTACCAAGGTAGTCCATTTAGCAGCTCTTACATGCATTAAGTGTACACAAAAATGTATATCCTAAAAACACAGGCCAATATGAGGCAAGAAAAGCACAGGAATTGATGAATGTGTAACAAGTACAATTAAATGTCCTGGATATCATAAAGACAGTAAGAAAGATTGCTTTGTTTTTGCAATTAATTTAAATTATTTCTAGTATGAGAATGTGTAGCAGATTTATCTGCTCAGAAGAACCAGTTAACCTTGCCATCATATATGAGTGGGTTTATATTCAGAAGGAATGACAGGAAGGGTGAATTAGAGGCTATTATACTGTAGTCACAATACAGAGGAAACAACATGTAAGACCTGATCCACAGCCCCTTGAAAATGAGGGGAGTGTTCTCATTGTCTTCAACTGGCTTTGGAGGAGCAGAGTTCCTAAATGTCACACATCACAATAATCATGCGATACATAGTCCTCTTGTGCCCACCTGCAGCCTCAGGCACATTCTCAGCATCCAGTTAAGCTGCCAGAAGGTGTTTGCTTGTAGTTCTGACTTTTGACCACTAAGGCAGCTAGACATCAACTCTCTCTGCTGGATGAGGGCCTGGCCTCTTCAGCAGCCCTAGGCTCCCCAGCTGATCCTGGGCTCTGCTTGGCATTTCAAAGTGGCAGCACTGCACGGAGCCTGGGAGTGGCTGGGGGCCTCCCCAGCTGACTCCAGGTTCCATGGAAATTCTGCATGGAGCTCAGGGTCAGTTGGGGAGTCCCCAGCTGACCCAGGGCTCCACGCGGCGCTGCCCCTTTGAAATGCCACTGCAGCCCAAGGTTAGCTCCATGCAGTGCCATGTAGCACTGCTGCTTTAAAGTACCCATTGCCCCCCCTTTGCTGCTTCTATCTGATAGACGAAGCGGGGAGGGGGAGAATCGACTAGCCAACTTGACTATCTGATAAGCATTTGCTTATCAGATAGTCAACTAGTCGACTAGTCCTTAACATCCTTTGTTTCAAGTATTCCATGTCACTGCAGGTGACAAGAATAGGACTGCTCAGCTCAAAGAAATGAGTGACCAAGCTGTAGAACGAGAGAGAAACAGAGAAGGATTTATATTGTGAAGACTTCATACTGAACTCTGTGGATAGTAATTTCTGTAAACGGACTGAGCTAAAGAGCCAAGAAGTTCTCTTCAAAGAGCAACATATAAGAGTTATGGGAGCACAGAAGGTGGGTAATTCAAACAAAGGGAAAGGCCAAAAGGGAGATTCAGTCTCCCAGAGCTGTGCATGCTTGAATAAACTGTACTAGAGAACTGTAAGGAGAGATGCTTAAAAGAAAGCGTGACCAATTTTGCTGCGTAAGACATTCTGATAGCTCACATGGAGAAGCATGTCATGCCACATGTAAAGGATGGCCTGTATTTGAAAACACAGTTGGAAACTGGATGTCTCAACGTGCTGCTAGAAGACACCGTATTCTGGAAAACTAACATAATCTGTAGGATCATCTATCTAAAACCATAATATAAGACCAGTTTCTCTCATGCTTTGATGCTTACCAAGAGTGGGGGAAGAGGGGAAAGGAGGGCTGGGGGAGTAGGAGGAAAAAGGGGACAGCAAGACAGACACTTTTATTCTTATATTAACATTTAAGTTGTTATTTCAGTTCCTTAGGATCATCTTGTTTGGAGCATACTAGAATTGGAATTGAGAACAGTATAACTCTTGCCTATTCAAATCACTGGCTCAAATAAGGTGCAGATAAGTAGTGATGAAACAGTGTTACCATCTAATAGTTGTTTAGCTGTCTGCAACTCAGTACAGTTTTTAGTAAAAAGATGTCAATGTCACAAAATCCATCATCTCAATTAGCCTTTGCTAGTAGTGTCAGAACAGAGGCAAAAAAAAAAAAATCAAGGATCTCAGGGTATATCTACACTACCCCCCTAGTTCGAATCAAGGAACTCAGGGTATGTCTACACTACCCCCCTAGTTCGAACTAGGGGGAGTAATGTAGTCATACGGAGTTGCAAATGAAGCTCGGGATTTGAATTTCCCGGGCTTCATTTGCATAAAGCCGGCCGGCGCCATTTTTAAATGCCGGCTTTATGCAAATGAAGCCCGGGAAATTCAAATCCCGGGCTTCATTTGCAACTCCGTATGACTACATTACTCCCCCTAGTTCGAACTAGGGGGAGTAATGTAGTCATACGGAGTTGCAAATGAAGCTCGGGATTTGAATTTCCCGGGCTTCATTTGCAACTCCGTATGACTACATTACTCCCCCTAGTTCGAACTAGGGGGGGTAGTGTAGACATACCCACAGAGATCAAACAACTTAGTCTCTTACCCACATAGGTGAATTGTTTGTGATAAAGTGGAGGCATATTATTAGGATGTAGAGTCTTGGAGGACTGCTGCCCGTGCAGTTGCTTGTCCTCTTGACAAAAGACTTCAGTCATTCCAGGTGTATGTTCCAGAGCACACTACATCAGCAAAAATCATATGTTTGAAGCAGCAGGTTCTGGGGTCCAACAGAAAGGCTATCAGAAGTATCAGTCAACTCCTGATGCTATTTTAACACAGGGATGTTTGTGTCATAGGAGTGGATAATTCAGGTACTTGTACAGAAGAGAGAATTTTTGGCAGGAAAATATTTACGAAGAAGTTGGAAACACTGAAACTCATCCTCTTGAGGTTTAAACAAGAAAGAGGCACCACATCTAAGAGATGCAAAGGTTAGTAAAGGTTAAACCTATTTGGTCCAGCATCCTTGGGACCTGACTGGTGTCAAACCAGAGAATTTGCTGAACCATGGGAGGTTAATATTATCTAGCAGAATTACCAACACTTCTACTGCTTACTGGGCTCTCAGAAGACATTTAGGGGTAAATTAGAGCTAAATAACAGTAGGGAATACTGAACCAAAACTGGTGGCTGTAAACAAATTTTATGGGACCACAGCAAAGTTGGCCACAGCCATGATAAGTGAATATCCAGATAATTAAAATAATTCTGATCCATGGATATTGCCCGACAAAAGAGTGCCAGACTAGGGAGGATCAACCTATACAAGCAATAAGCAGTAAGCTCTTAAAACTATCAATAATGTAGTATAAATAATCTGGTAAGGAGAATGATAAGCAGTAAGCTTTTAAAACTATAAATAATGTAGTATAAATAATCTGGTAAGGAGAAAAATTAGGACATTTGTGAAAATAAGCAAAAGTAAGTTAAAACGATAATTACAGGACTACAGAGAATTAAATTCCAAACATTGCAATCAACAAAGAGCCTTAATATACATTTTTATTCGAAGCACACCAAAGACAACTAAAAACTGTCTATGGGAGCATAACTAGTTTAACTGTCACAGCTATTTAAGAGCTGTTCAATGCTGAAAAGCAGGGTATGACACTCACACAACTAAAATAAGATAACTACTTTCACAAGCAGCTCTCAAGAGTGTTGTAGCAAAAGATATGATTTGCCAATGAGAGCCCTTGAAAATCTGACTGCAGAGTTTTGGAGCCTGGAATTTACATGGAACCTGTAAGAAATGGAATTAATGATTTACAGTTTGCTCCAGTACTATAAATGAAACTTGGATTAATCTTTGTCCCTTATTAAAATCAGCTTTCATTCTAGTTCACTTCAAGACTCTCCTATACAATTATTATTATGTAATGAACAACTATGAATTCAAACACAAAAATTATTTTTTTGAGAAATATCAAACAAGACTGTCTTTCCCCAGTACAAATAAACAAGAACAGAAGAGAAAGCAGTTATGACTTCATATTCATTGTAGCATGTCTGAGAATAAAGTGCACCTAATGCAAGATAATACCAAACACAGGATTCTTTTTTATTTAGTTACTAGGCAATTAGCCCGTCATAAGATGGGATTTTCAGGTCTCTCCTCCACGTTGGTCTTCTCTCCTGAGCCTCTGGTCTCTCGCTCCATCTCCCTCTCTCTCTCTCAGCTCTCCTCCGCCTCCTGCCTCCCTCTCTGTCTCTCTCTTTCTCTTCTCCTCCCCCTCCTGCCTATCACTTGGGGGACCGTGCTGCATGGGAAGCATGGAGCCCCTGGTTCTTTGGCCCTACATCATCCAGCCATCCATCATCTTGCCTCCCTGCATTGGGCCGGACAGCTCCCCGGTCTACGGTTGCCAGGCTGCCTCTGTATTGACCCTGGGATTTTCGCCTCCTGACTGGGAAAAAATTAGAAAGTACCGGACATTTTTGGTGTCCAGTATTTTCTGAAATTTTTTTTACCGGACAGGAGGCGAAAATACCAGACTGTCTGGTTCAGCATTATTAACACAGAAAATGACTACTTTGCAGTCAGTCATGTGTGTGTGACCCCAGCCCATCCTTCAGTACTACGCAGAAGGAAGGACCCTCCATATTGTATCTCACATCAGGCTTGACATACTCATTGCCCTAATGACATGCTGGTCGCCAGAATCACTGTATAATGTATATACAGAATGCATACAAATAATTATAGATGTTTGCTGGAAATATGTTCTTAAAATGTGTTTGGAAGACAGATCACAAACCCCTGCCTGTGCCTAGATAAAGAAACATCCCAGCAAGAGGGACAAGACACTGCAGAGAGGCATCTCTGGAGAAGTTGGGAATTGATGGTGGCTTGCAAAGCAAGGTTTGGACGGAGAGAGTCCTCAAGAATTTGCAGGCAAAGCAGACAAGATGATGCACCAGGGAGCTCACACATCATTTAGCAGCAGCAAAAGACTCGCTTGCTGCAGCTGAGAAGGGTAACACAGGAACTCAAAATTCTGAGCAAGACGTCAGAGTGTGCTTTGAATCTGAACAGACTGGACAAATTCCCAAGTGCATCTTAGCAATAGTGAGGTTTAGGATATTGCTGCTCTTCAGATAACAGTTGCTCGTAAGAATGTGCACGGACTTGCTGCTCACAAATATTTGGTTGTTGTCCCTGCTCTCAGTAGAGATAGTCACAATTCCTGGCCTTGGGCCCTGTAACATGGAAGGGCACATGCTGTAAGACTACTCAAATTTACAGTCAGACTGGGTATCCACCTGTTTTATGCTGGCTCCATTATCAAACATATTTCTATGGGTGAGGCACACATCAGGGATATTTGGCTGGCAGCTGTAAGAGGACCAGCAAGGAACCCTGTGCCACAATATGCCTGCTGCTGTGCAGAGTGCAAAGCGTGCCAGAGGAGAAACCAACAGTATGAAGAGGCTGAACAAAGAATGAGACCAGATCAGCTGGTTAGTATTGAATGAATGTATCAGTAAAACTTTCACTTTTCTCTCTTAAAACTAAGGCCAGGAAACTGTGCAAAAAACAATGCTCTCTGCAAAATTACGACAGGGGATTTAAATTCCCAGAAGCCAGGCTGAATGTGTAGTGCTGGCAGTAAAATGAATTATGTTTTAACTTGTAAACTGAGCAAATTGGATTTTGTTACTTTAACATTTATTATAATTTCAATGTATAAAATATTTAATGCCCATCCAGCACTCAAAGTGCCTGTTAGAGAAATGCAGATAATAAAGTGCATATACAAACTGAGCAGTTTAACCTTCTCTGAATATAACAAAGAATCAACCCTATTACACATTACATATTTAGCCCACTCTCTCACACAATTTACAGCTTATCCTCTCCAAAAATATGACAATCAATCCTCTTCAGCTTAAAAATATACTATCCTCCCTGAGCATACCAGTCCACCAGCCATCTCTGAAAACCTGAGAAAACAAACTCTGTAGCATAACCCTGAAGGTCAACACACTCTGACTACTACACAGATCTGAGCTATTTTGGAGTCAGACAAACTTGGAACCTCATGCTGTGAATTTTAGACATTTACTATAGGGATAATTCTGTGCTATGTTAAATCTAAACATATACACTTATTTAATATTTCCTCATTACAATTCTCCTCAGTAACAAGCAGACTGAAATCCCTATGATCACTCTCCTAGCTGTTTTGCAGACTTCCTTTATCTACATAAACATTTCCTGTTCTGCTTTCTCATCCTTCCCCAGAGCCCTATAATGGCTTCTGATTATAATTTTTTACCAATCTGTCACTTGAGTCCAAATTGTCTGTATGCTGGTGACAAGCCAGCCTGACTGTGACATTTCTTTGTTAGATAGCGTGTCTCTCCTTAACCTAAGGACACATTTCCTCCTATATCTTTGAACGTATCTTTTGAGTAAACTACTTATCCTGGCATTTAACATTCCTGTTAGGTTCTTGTCTTAAATCAGCTTT